CCTCCTCCTCCTCCTCCTCCTCCTCCTCCTCCTCCTCCGCCTCCTCCTCCTTCTCTTCCTCGTCCTCCTCCTCCTCTTCGTCGCTCCTCTTCTCCGCGTCTGCCGCCATGCCAGGGATGCTTTCGCACTCTCGATGCCGCCTCCAGGAGGCACACTCGCCAGAGATGCCCTCAAGCAGGTAGCGTTTGAGCCTGGCCCCGTCTCCCTCCTCCATGATTCCTCTCGCGCAGCATCTCGGAGCTCCTTCCTCCTCCCTTTCTCATCCCCCATCCTGCCTCCTCCCTGCCCGTTGCGCTATAGCCGAGGCATCGCCACGATGTCGGCCCTTGCCATTTACCAAGGAATCGTGCTCGCGCCTCGGTTCCGGTCACCTCCCCCGTCGGGCCAAGGGCGCCCAGACACAACTCGACAGCAGGAGTGTAATCGAGTGGTTCGTTTGGGTTCGACCCCCGCTCGCTCAGTCCTCCCTCTCGGAGCCGGGAGTTCCGAGGATGGTTTAAGCGAGACGGCCCAGACCACCTCTGACAAGACATCTCGGAACCCAGCTGCAAGGATGTCTCACGCGAAACGCTCCAGACCATCTCGCGCACCTGCTCTAAGCTCAAGCGAGGATGTCTCGGGCGAAACGGGCTGGACCACGCCGCGCACATCGTCAAGGAACCCGGAGTTGCGAGGATGTCTCGGGCGAAACGCGCCAGACCACCCCGCGCGCAGCATCTCGGAGCCCCGGCTTGCGAGGACGTCTCAGGCGAAACGGGCCGGACCACCTCGCGCGCGACGCCACGTGGTCGGAGGTGGCCGCCGAGCGAGCACGATGCGTTCAGCAGCGAGGCCGTCCCAGGATAGCTTGCTACCTGGCCTGGCGTGCGCGGGTTGCTCGGGAGGGGCCGTGCGCCGCCGCTCGGCGCACGGCCATCGTCGGGCGCGCAGTTCACTGTTGAGGCGTACAGCGTACAGCGCCAGCGGTGGCAAGGCGCCTGTCAAGAAGCGGCTCGCCAGCACCGCGGCGAGCACCTCCCTCCTCCTCCTACTCCTCCTCCTCCTCCTCCTCCTCCTCCTCCTCCTCCTCCTCTTCCTCCTCCTCTTACTCCTACTCCTCCCTCCGCCTCCCTCCGCTCCTCCTCCTCCTCTCCTCCTCCTCCTCCTCGCCTCCTCCTCCTCCTCCCCCTACTCCTCCTCCTCCTCCTCCTCCTCCTCCTCCTCCTCCTCCTCCTCCTCCTCCTCCTCCTCCTCCTCCTCCTCCTCCCTCCTCCTCCTCCCTCCTCCTGCCATTGCGGGCTGCGAGGAGGCGGAAGGATGAGAAGGAGCATGAGAAGGATGAGGAGGCCGGATGGTCCTTCTGCAAGAGCTTGGGCACGTCAGCGAGCATGTTGAGGCGTTGTGCTCATGGTGCGCGGGCAGAGGCTGGCGCCTGATGGCCCTGCCCAGCGTGCCGACGGTGAGCACAGTGCCGTCCGCAGGCGTCGCGGCCGCTGAGCGCGACAGTCTGGGCGCCAGGCCCCCAGTGCTTGGTCCTCACAAGCAGGTCCCGAACAGGATCCAGCACGCCACCATTGATTTGCAAGGCGTGCCGTGCTGCATCCATCCGTTCCATGTATATCTCGTCATGGGCGAAGGAGCAGGTGGGCGCGACGGCAGGTTGCTGCAAGAGCTGGGTCTGGCAGCTGAGGCGCAGAAGGCCTTTTTCAGAAGGCGGCGAAACTTCTCAAAACGCTGCTGGCCTTCTGAGAGGTTATCCGTAGTTTCGGGAAGGCTTAGAACACTTCCCAGAAGGCTGGAGGACTTCCGAGCCTTCTGAAAAAAGAGGCCCGCCCCTTCTCACTCCCCACCCGGGCTCCGCCGAGAGGAGGAGGCAGCGGTAGTGGAGCAGCAGGAGGCAGCAGGAGGTGCCACGGACGACCCGCCTGCGCGCAGAGGTGGGCGGCGACCTCTTCCGCGCCCAGAAGTACGTGCTGGCCTTGGCCCGGTACTCGGCGGCCATCGCCCTCCTGGAGCCAGCCCGCGAGTCGGCGGACCCAGCGACGCTTGCGCGCATGGACGAGCTCTGCCGCGTGTGCGAGTTGAACAAGGCTCGACGAAGAGCAAAGGATGTAAACATAAACATTTCCGGGGTGGACAGAAGCCCCACCCTGACACGCCGATTCGGGAATTGTCCGTTGTCGGTTCTCGAGAGGGCGCCGCGGCCGTCATTTTCTTGGCTTGCGCCCACCATGTTTGGGCCCGAAATCGTTTTCACGAAACCACGTTTCGCGAAAGGGGTATCTGTCCATCCCCGAACATTTGGAATTCCGAGGGGAGTTCTCGGATCTGCGCCGGACCTCCCCCCATGGCGGCACCTTCGGCGGCGCCCCGCCACCGCCGATCCAAGACATTTGCACGGAGCTCCGAAAGTTTATGTGTACGTATGCCTTTCTCTGCTCACCTAAAGGCGGAGCATGCTCACCTCCCCCTGCTTCCTGGTGTTCCTGGTTGTCCTCCTTGTCCTACTCTTCTTTTTATCCTCCTCCTTTTCCTGCTCCTCTGCCCGGCTGCCTGGTCATGGTCTTCCATCCCCCTTCCTAGAAGATAAAGCCCTCTCTGCCACCACCTTTGCCGCACTACCAGACGCGTCTCCCTGCCGGGCTGGGCGTTTCGCTTGAGGTTTCTGTGCGTATGACGTATTCTCCTTAGACTAAGAAGATTCCAACAGGAGGATGGAGGGCTGGTGGTTTCTAAACTGCGGTTTTCGCTTCAGCGCCGCGTTCATTCGTTTTCAACGGGCGGTTATCCCTTCAGCGCCACGCACATTCGTTCAACTTGTGGTAACAACCAAGCAGATACACGCATGGAGGTTGGTGGTTGTCAAGATGCGGTATTCGCTTTAGCCCCGCGCACACATACGTTTTTTATATTGTAAATCCCACAGCGACCAGGATGAAGATTGGCTCGTTTTCAAAACTCGGCTTTCGCCACAGATGCTCGAAATCTACGACCCGAAGTTCCAAACTGTGCAGGAGCTACACGGGTGGAGAGCGGCACCTTTTCAAAATGGGGTTCTCGCTTGAGGATTCCACGGAAAACGATTCCAAAACATTGAGAGACGTGCACAGCGCGTACATGCAAGGCATGGCAGATCCTGAAGAGAGCAGGGGCAATGAGTGGACGCACCCTTGAACTTTCTCACCCTATCTCGGCCGCTTCATTTGATCCATTCAGGACAAGGCCTCGTCTTCGAGGATCGAAGGAATTGCCATCTCTTCCTCTGCGTAAAGCGGCGGAAGGGCGGCTGAAGCTGGCGGAAGTAAAACGAGACTCCGCTGGCGGAAGCCAGCGGAAGTAAAAGTCTGCTTCCCAAGTGATGGCAAGTTGTTTTCCCCCCGCCAACTCGCCCCCAGGAAACTGGATACACATGACGTGGCCGGCTTGGGCGAGAGCTGCATACACACGTGGCCACATGTCTTTCCAGGCCACGGCCCTCGTTATGCCAGGCACGGTGATCCTCCACATCTTTATCCAGCAAGTGGCCTCCGGATCTTCCACGTGTGAATCCACCCACGTGTGTTTCCGGGCTCCTCGTCGAAGGAACAAGGGGAGATCCCTTGCAGAAGGGGGTTCCGTCTGAATGGCACGCCCACTGGTGCTCGTCACTTGAGGGGGGGCGCTCTTCCCGCAGCGAAGAGGAATGTTTGCATGGGAAGGTGAGAACGAGGGGGAGGAGGAGGAGGAAGAGGAGGAGGAGGAAGAGCAGGTCGAAGTGGACTTGGGGCGGGAGCGTGTGTTGAAGCATCGTTGGTGTATCCAGGGTTTCCTCTGGTTCTCCTCCAGGTCGGCCTCCTCCTCCTCCTCCTCCTTCTCCTTCTCCTCCTCCTCCTCCTCCTCCTCCTCCTCCTCCTCCTCCTCCTCCTCCTCCTCGTATTCCTCCATCTCCAGAAGCCTGCAGAAATCTCTCGAACCTCGGCACCTCCTGGGACCTTCCGAAACTCTACGATCACTTGCGACGGCTTCCCGCAAACGCCTGAAACTCTCCGACGATGTTCGGCCTGCGATCCCAGGGCGGAAGTAAGGGGACAGGCCTTCTCAGAAGGCGGCGGGGCTTCTTAGAAGCCCTCTGGTCTCCCGAGAAGTTGTCCATGTTCCCAGTGAGGGCTCAGAGAAAGAGAGTTCCTCGGAAGCTCACAGGCCTTCCGAGCCTCCCGAGGAGGCCCGCTCCCTCTGAGTTCCCCCGGGGCTCGCCGCCGAGATGTTACGAGACCCTCCGAGGCACCCTCGCCCAGACATCCGCCGATCTGTTTCTGTTCCATCCGCGGCCACCCCTTCCCCGGGGGTGGTCTTCCGTCCCGGATCCAATTCTGATGGCCCGCGGGCCCGATGACGGGAAAACCGCCAGATCGAAAAAACTCGGGAGCCTTGAGACGGGGGTCAATGCAAACAGGGGTCAGCCAGGGCGCCAGATCCTGCAGGATCCTGCGAAGACCCCCTCTGGCTGACCCGGGTTAGCGAGCCGCTCGTTGCCGCGAGGCGGCCGCGCATATTGGCTGACCCAGGTTTGCGAAGACCTGCGTTGCAGTTGTTTGTCCTGCGTTGCAGTTTTTGGTTTCCTGCTGACCCGGGTCTGGATTGACCCGGGTCAGAAGATCCCCGAAAAACACGTGGTCGGATCTCTGGGCCGGGAGGGGGGCCAGACCTCGGAGCCAGGCTGCGTGCATGCTGAAGACTGGCGACTTCGGCGGCGCGGCCGCCGCCTGCCAGCTGGTGCTGCAGCAGGAGCCAAACAACGTCAAGGCCCTGTTCAGGCGTGCCTCCGCGCAGATGGCCCGCGGGGAGAAGGCGCAGGGGCACGAGGGGTACGAGGAGGAGGGGCAGGGGCAGGAGGGGCAGGAGGAGGAGGGGCAGGAGGAGGTGCAGAAGGGGCACGAGGGGCAGGAGGGGCAGGAGGAGGAGGGGGCGAGGGGGGCACGAGGAGGAGGGGCACGAGGTGAGGAGGGGGCAGGAGGGGCAGGAGGAGGAGGTTACGCGCAAGGATGAGAGGAGGAGGAGGAGGAGGGCGGAGGAGGAGGAGGAGGAGGGGGAGGAGGAGGAGGAGGGGCAGGAAGGGGCCAGGGCACGAGGAGGAGAGGCAGAAGGGCACGAGGAGGGGC